AATGAAGCAACGAATGAAGCAACGAATGAACAAACGAACGAACGAACGAACGAACGAACGAACGAACGAACGAACGAACGAACGAACGAATGAACGAACGAACGAACGAACGAACGAACGAACAAACGAACGAACGAACGGACGGACGGATGGACGAACGAACGAGACCAGAACCTGGAGTAAAATTTCGCTCGAATAAGCACACCTGACAGTACCCATTCCGAGGGAAGGAACACCGTACGCCTCATCCTTTAACAACGAGAGACAACGGGGCTTCTTAACATGACACCTTGACGTTACGAGAATAATTATCTTGATTAAGAAATACCGGACTCGTAACATAGTAATAAGAGTAAAAGGCCGCGACCGGTCGAGGGCCCTCTTCTTGCGTCAGCCGGCCGTTTGTGCAAACGAAGATCGACTCATTATAAAGCCCGTGCGCGCGACTACGTAACCACGATGCTCGGGCCGCTAAGCCGGCTATAGACACCGGCGTGCGAGGGATCAGGAACGGGCAAACACGTTCCTTACAATGTAAAACGCAAACGTATCAACGGATGCGCGCAAACACGGACGTACATGCGTGCGTACGTGCGTACGTACGTGCTCGTAGCTGCCGCGCTCACGTGAATTCAGCCTCGCGCTGCGCGGTACATCAAAGGAGGATTTGCATACGGCGTAAGCCGGGATATAAGCTGACCTGTTATCGCCGATGTAATTGTAAAGGGAATAATTCCACGCCGGGGTGCGGCAGCGCATTCGCGGGAGCACACGCGAAATTTTCCTATCGAAGCTGCTCGAGGCCGCTTCGCTTCGAGTTCGGCTCGCACGCGAAAAGCGGAATATATTAACGTGCTCTCTGCGAGCGACCATCTGAGCTGAACTCTGTCTCCCTTTCTGTTTCTTCCTCGACGAAACGAGATTTAATAACGAGCCGGCTCGTTTAGACGTGCTCGTTCAAACCGAGGCGTCTCGAGCTTTATCGAGAGAGAGAGAGAGAGAGAGAGAGAGAGAGATATCGTCAAGACAGTTTTTCCCCGAGAGAATAACAAATGATTGCCGCGTATATGCGCGCGAGAAAAAAAAATCAGGCGGTACTCGATCGCGTGAAATTGGCGTTACGTCATATACGATATCCGTATGGCCGATCGTTATGATCGATCCCTCGCGGGCGATGAAGTCATCAATTCGGAAAAGACTCTCTCGAAAGTATTCACAGTGTTGTATCCTTCTTCTCCCCTCCTTCACCGCACGCGTGTTAGTCTAACGAGGCTCGTTCGCCGCTTGCGTGCCACGAGAAAATTCAAGCGTGGATCGCGGCGCGGACTCGGCGGCGCTCGCGCTCATCACAGTCGTCCTGCACCGGCAGGGCAGGGAAGGAAAGAAAAGGATGAGCCACGTATGGCGCATACGGGAACCGCACAAGGTCGAAATATCCTGCGCGCATCCTGCCTTTTTCCACGTGGTTCGCGGTAGAACCGCAGGAATCCCGTGAAGAAGTCAGAAACAACGAGACGGCTGAGAGAAAGGAAGAGAGAGAGAGAGAGAGAGAGAGAGAGAGGGAGGGAGAGAGAAAGAAAAGAGAGCGAAGGGTAGTGAAAAAAGAGAAAGGAGCAGAGAGAGAGAGAGAGAGAGGGGAAAGAGCCGCTCATCAAAAGCAATAATATGAGAGTACCTGAGTAATAGGCGAGGGTACAACATTGTACGTTCCTAGCAGTTTATAATCGGAATGGAAATGCGGATTCTGCGGACGGATGGTCTCCGCTTCACGAGGACGAGGACCGGAATTTCTCGAGGAAGAGCGACCAGCTCGCCTTGACTGTGCACGCCGTGTAACGTCGCGCGGGTAATTAATATTATTTCACGACGACCCCGACGTCCGCTCCTTTTAAAACCTCCCCCTTCGCGTCATGCCTTATAATGTTGCTTACACACGCTCCGATGTGTGTTGAGTTATGGCGTTGGACGTGTCGAGAGCGCGGATCGAATAATAAAGTATACGGGAGTATACACGAGAGAGACGGGCTACGTGCGCACGCTTGATGACAGCGTGATTCATGATATCGCGATTGCGATTTTTGCGTATATATATATATATATATACATATATATATAATGTGGCGCAACACGGAGAGAAACGCACTGATTATAGTATCAATACAATATAATAACAGTCGGTACAGAGCGTTATATCTCGGGAGAATCTCCACTGCCGCTTTAACCGCTCGGCGGAATTTGCAGAGTTAACGTGAAATCGCAGTTTCGACTCGGCGGGATACGCGCGCGCGCGCGCGCATCCCTTCCCCATTCGCGCGATTTCACAAACCGAAGAAACGCGCGCGCGAGCGCGCGAATACGTTGGAAAACAGGAATGCGCGCGAGGAGTCTCGATACGATCTCGCGACAAGTTAATGACGCACGTCTGATTTGATTTTATTACTGTTCGCGCTCAGCAATGCCGCGCCACCGGTATTACCTCGCGAGGACGACGCGGGTTCAACGGCCGCTTATTTTCGATATATAATATACACGTCGGATTACACCGTCTCTCGTCATGTACACGTACACGTCAATATTGAAGAATGCTCCCGTCGCGCATAACGGTACCCGGTTATGCGCGGAGAGGAACGCGCGCGCGCGCTCGTTGGCTCGCTCTTTAGCATCAAGATTCGGTGTTAACGCACGAAATACATATTCGCGGAATCGCGAAACGCGCGCTTCGAGGAGGCGAAGGGCGGGCACGGCTCCCTCTTCTTCAGACATCACACGCGCTCCTCTTGCCGAAGCAGAAGAACACACGGCTATTTACAGCCGTTAAGTACTGTGACACCTGCGCACGAGCATGTATACTTTCTCAGCTGCGCGTGCTGCTCTTCAGCGCGCGCGCGCGAGTCAGCCTTTCGTGGCTGCATAATTTAGAGATCTTTACTTGTCACTTTAACGTCGGACGCCTAAGCGAGCGCCATTATCGCGGGCCGCGTTCGTAAGATTAAGCCTCGCCGCGTAATCCCGCGGCCCCACTCGAGTCTAGAGTCCTAAGGTTCTATCTTACGCTCTTGGAATGCGCTGCTCGACGAGTGCGTCTCGTTTGAATTTCCCGACTTTTTCGACTCCATCCGCCTTTTCGAGAGGATGTTTACTCGCGACAAGTGCAAAGTGCCTCGTGTGAAGAGACGCGCGCGCGCGCGCGCGCGTCTCCGGCCGGGATTACACACACGGCTCGATTTTGCCCGGCAGATTACGCGACTTACTTTTCCACTCGTCGGGGCGCGCACATCGCGTCGGGATTAATAAGATCGTCACGCGCGCTGAGTGCGTCCCACGAGACGAAAAGCGATAGCGACGCGGGCGTGTTGCGTCTGGCGTACGCATTATCCCGCGGACGCGCGATCGCGCTCGTTTATAATCAAAATGGAGATGCGCGGACCGAGCCGGTCCGCGGCCGCGGCGTAAGAGGGCGAAATCCATGGAAACATGCGAGGGAAACAGCCAGGGGAGGGGGGAGGGGGAGCAGGAGGACCGCGAATCGCGCTCGAAGACAACCGTTTCCTCTAACCGCATATCTCTCCCTCCCCCGCCCACCCCCTCCCCCCCGCGTTTTCCCATTTATCGCCGGTGAACTTATAGTAATGACCGACGAGAGGGATCACGGGGGACGTGTAACGAGATATGACGATGCCGCGACGCTTTAGCTTTGTGCTAGCTTATAATCAGAATGCAAATACAGAGCCCGGGGATGTATTGACTTCCGCCTGGAAGCTAAACCGTTAAAGGCGCGCCTAATTGGCGTGATCTCTCAATTATGTCAGGCCCTTTGAACGCAACCGGCTCCCGTTCTGCATTGCGGTACTGCCGGTACTCTCTCTCTCTCTCTCTCTCTCTCTCTCTCTCTCTCTCTCTCTCTCTCCTCTCTCTCTCCTCTCTCTCTCTCTCTCTCTCTCTCTCTCCTCTCTCTCCTCTCTCTCTCTCTCTCTCTCGGTGTCTTTGAACTCCATCCCCACCGTGCGGATTTTTGCCAACTTAATAACGAGCGTGCGACTTCTCTCCGTCTCCGTCTCTACGAGACGCTCCACGCTCTTCTCTCGCGCTCGCTGCTCACTCGCTCGCGCGCGCGTCGCGGAAATCGATGGAGCTTTTTAATCGTCTCGGACTCCTCATTAAAGGTTTTTTGGATTTATTGCAGAATGAAAGAAGGGGAAAAAATAAGCGCAAACTGGAAAGCACTCGGTGAAGAGTGATGCAGATGAAGATCTCGTTTGAAACTTTTCCGCCCGGTCATCTTTCTCCCCGGCCATCCTCTCCCCCCTCTGTTTCTTTCTCGCCGGCGACTCTCCGCGTCTCCCCCTCTTCGTCACACGCGATCGTGTGACTACCGAGGGAACGTGTAGTCCCTATATACGTCGTGATTAGCATCTCCGCACTCGTAAGTTCCACCGCGATATCTCTCGCGCAGATACGCTTCAATTTGCCGAGAAGCCCCCCCTCCCCTCATCCGTCCCGAGTACTGTCGAAATTCCCAATCGCGGCACGCGTCGCGGCAGAAAAGTCGCGTCGGCCGCGCGACGACGCTCTAGTAGGCGCGATCGATCAATCGTTCTAGAATACGCGTTTTCCACCTGGACACGCCTTTCGAAAGCGATTCAACGTGGTGCGGTCGATTCTTACGCCACGTACACACCCGGGCGAGCGCGTTGCAATTCAATTCAGACGTCCTCTAGTCGTTTTGCCGCGTAATTTAGAATCTAATTAAGAGTCACCTTGCCCTTCCTCTCTCCCCCCCTCTCTCTCTCTCCCCCTCTCTCTCTCTCTCTCTCTCTTCCTCTCTCTCTCCCTCCTCACGCACGACGGCGGGATTTTATATGCATACGCGCGCGTAGTCGAGCGAGAGGAGCATAAATCTCACGTGAAACGAGCGTTAACTGCGCGAACGCTCCGCGAGTTTGTAATTATAATACGCGCGAACGAGAGGTACTCACGCGCTCGATACTCGTTCTACTCACTTGTTGACTTTGGGCACCGATGACTCGGCCGCTGCAACAGAAAGAAAAACACGCGTGTGGTTACAAGGCTGACGGGTATCCGCGCGAATATCGATCGCGAACGATTAACTTGGCGCGCGCGCGACACATTAAACGCCAGACCGGGAGGCGAGCGGTCGTCGTGAACGCTGCGAGTCGCAACGGGAGAATTCGCGATACTCGGCGATAAGTCTATCGCACTTTGTATCGTGTGCCTGACAGCCACACGTCTCGGCGCGGGAGACATGTTAAAAGTTACGCGACGCGATAACGATGATGTTTCTTTTCCTTATTGATCGCCGGCAGGTTTGCACCACAGCTCGCGCGAGCCGAGGCGAAGCGAGGCATCGCATCGCGTCGCGTCGCGTCGCGATGCTGCAGCAGGGCTGTTAGTCTTCGGCAGCTTCCAAGTTCCGAAGCTTCGAATGCTTCGAATGCTTCGAATGCTTCGAATGCTTCGAATGCTTCGAAGCTTCAAAGTCAACTTGGAAGGTTTTTATGCCGAAGCTTCGAAGGATGCGGGGCGCCTGCGCTCTTTGTTTCTGCATGCACGCACTCTGCATTTCACTCATATATTCTACATTCCGTGGATAACAAAAGTACCGGCTCGATGGTTCGATTCTCGAACACCTTCGAATTCTCGAAATTTCCAAGTTCGAAGACTGAAACCTCGAAGGTTCGCAGCTACGAAACTTCGATCGTCGAATATCTGATCTCGAAGCTTCGAAGCTTCGAATACAAAGACTGCGAGCAAAAATTACACCTCTATGGTGCAGTACGGCGATACACGGGGCCAACTAACTCCCGCTAATGGACCCGCGCTAATGAACGCGAATAATAATCCAAGGGCGGCGTTTAATTGTTCGTTCCGCGAGCGGAACGCTCCGACGCGCTCCGAACGCAAACTCGCGATTCGAGAGAGTCGTGAATAATTCCAGAGCCGATAAGTAATCACGCAGCCACAGGATAGATCTCCCCCGAGCAGTCGCGCCAGGTCTATGCGTCTCATGCAACCGCATTTCGCATTCGCGCCGGCACGGCGACGCGACGCGACGCGACGCGTTTCTTTCCCCGTGGAAAACGTCGCGCGAATAACGAGCGGCAGGAAAAACGGCGTCCCTGGATGCGCGTCGCGTCTCGAGAACGACCGACGAACGGAACACGAGAGAGAAACGCGGAGAGGTGACGCCTTCGTATACGTGGACGACTTCCTCGGCTGTTGCATGCCTAATTTGTATAATTCGCTAGTTTGCAAGGCGAGCACGGCGATCTAATGTCGTACCTAGCGCGTAAGCACACCGCCGCCTCCATCAGTCTGCGGATGCATCGGCGGCTCGCGCGCGCACGATGTGTTCGCGCGTGTCTTTTACACGGCATTTCATCGCGTTAGTCGACGCGTAACGTTAAAATTCCCCGCACGACGCGACGAGGAGAACATTGTTCGCGTCTCACGCGCACACTTCATCTCTCTCTCTCTCTCTCTCTCTCTCTCTCTCTCTCCCTCCGTCACTCTCGCTCTCTCGCTCGCCCGCTCTCGGCCGCTTCGGGAAGCTGCAAGATTTATGAGCGTAATGACATCGTACGCTTGGAAGCGAGGCCTCTGAGCGAGGCTTGATTAACCCATTACGCTACGCGTTATATGGAGCAAACGCTTTATAATCGCGCGAGATCAGGCCAGTCGATAAGTCGAATATCATGAGAACATCACGACGACAGTGATGTTCCGTCTCTGTGTGTGTGTGTGTGTGTGTGTGTGTTGCGTTAAACCCGTGGAAACGCATCGCCCATGGCGAGACTCGCCGTGTAATATCCTCGCTCGAGTAGCGTACGCTATCAATGTGCGTACAATGTGACTCTGAAATAACCGCCCGTTATATCAGCGATTCACTGTGAATGTCCCGCCGGGACATTATCGGACAATTATCCGAGCGTCGATCGCTTCTCTTTGTGACGTTATCGGTTGACTCCCTCGGAGCGCAAGACACCGGGTTTGCAAGACGCCCGACGCTCTCAACACGTCGAATTGTGCGCCAGCTCAGTCTTTTTAAGCCCTTCCTCATTTGTTAACATTGTAACGCACACAAGTGCGCCGCGCGATAACGAGCAACGCTCGAGGTTGGTGACTTCAAGCGGACGACGCGGAATTTTTCGGCGGAGCTTCAACCGCGACCATCAGCCGTGAGACTGAACATCTGACGTGGCGAACGACGCCAAGAGAAATTAACGCCGGAAAAATTTAACGCCTCGAAGAGATATCGAGGAATAATGTGCGATCGGCGATTAATACCCCCATGAGTAAGGACGGGCTTCGTCAAAGAAAAAAAAATAAAAAAAAGATCGTTTTTGCATAATCGATATTTTCCTAGTTTATTTCAAATTAATGTGAAGAGTTATATGTTGCAACAATAAATTAATATATTATTAAAACCTTAAAGACCCTTTTACAATGGCTGCAAGCATAAGATTATATATAATTATATATAAGAATAAGGCTACAAGCGTAAGGAATAAACCAATTAAAGTCGGTTGTTCTTATACAATAGTCGACTGTTGTTGGTCTATTTTTTACTGTTTACAGTTACAGCTTTATTTTTGCAGCTATTGTAAACGGACCTTAATAGTAGTAAACAAATTCCCTAGTGATAAAGATTTAGTAACAAATCTAGTGATACAATCGACGAAAAAAATAATCGATCTAGGGAATAACCGGCCGCAAAAATATCGGTCTGATGATCGATTTTTCAAGAAAATAAAAATCGATGCTTGTTTCATCAATCGATATTTGCCCATCACTATCCACGAATATCCTCGCGCGTGGAGGAGAGCTTTCGCACGGGCGCGGGCGTCGCGTAAAAACGCCCCAAGCTCGGAGATCCCCCCGGCGGATAGACCGGTCGCAACAATGAATCCTCGGCGAGCGAAATAATTCTGGCGATCGTGCGCGGATGCGAAATAATTCATCCGGTGTTTCCGCAACGCACACGGAGCGAGTGTGCTGCGCGCGCGCGGCCGTGCATTCGCTGATATCTCGTCTCCGTGGGTACCTCGCTCGCGCGCGAACCCTGACCGTACGTGGCAGATAACGTATGGCTTTCGTGGATTTTCCGGTTTGTGCCGGCACGGAGATAAGGAAGGAAACAGGAAACGACGGCGCTGCGCGCGCGCGCGCGCGCGCGCGGACGTTGCACGTGAGGTACATGCCCGATGAAAGCGAGCCGTTTTATCGCGCGGCGCTAAGGGAAATGAGTCGTTAAAACGCCGATCATTTTTCAATCGCAGTCCCCTCGCGCGCAAAATATCCCGCCGGCGTATATCCAATCGAAACGCGAGGGTGTCCGCCCAGGTACTCGCTCCGTCATGCGAAAGAAGACTCGCTTCGAGATCGCACCTCTCACGTTGGCTACGGCGTTTCCGAAGGATAAGCCTCATTTTTCGATTGAAAGTTACACGCGTGAGTCCCCTCAGGCCCCGAGTCGGGTCGGAAGTCGGGTGCCTTCCTTTTGGCAAAAATGATTTTCCGGTCGGCAGAGCAACGACTCTCGTCCGTCTTTCCGTGCACTCTCACTATTCGACGAGCTCACTTGTGCCGACTTGTGTCGTTAACCGCCATATCACAGCTCTAAATACGCAACTAACTTCAGAAATCGGAGACGTACAATTGACAATCGGCCTGTATCACCGCACATCAGTGCGGCTACGTTCAGAAAACACAACGGTTACACAACGGTTGAGTAATTCGTCAACGTTATTGGTCTGAATGTAAAAGGATCTAACAGTAAGGACCAATAGTTACTGAGCGCTCAGTGAGCGCTTTGTTTTCTGAACGCAACCATTGGCGAAAAGAGAACGTCACGGCTGGTGATAAATAATAATAATTATCTGCGGATTATTCCGCTCGCGGATGCAATTAAATAGAAAAATGCTGACGAAACATCGAGGAGCCCGCGGACTGCAGACTGCAACTTGTCCAGCCGGGACAAAGCGAGCCACGACCGACGTTACTCTTCGAATCGTGTGTGCGACCCTCGCGAGACATCGCGCAAGACGCTTCTTTCAAAACGCCGTCGCGGTGCGCGCGTACTTTCGTACTCGAGGGAGTATCTCGCTCGTCGCAGCCGGCGCGGCGAACGCGGGAACAATGTTCCGCGATGCGTATTCCAGTGCGTGTACGCACGGAACGAGCGGGAGCCGTACATCCGTACGCGGGCGTGCGTGCGAGACAGAGAGAGAGAAAGAGAGAGAGAGAGAGAGGGAGAGGGGCGTAGGAAACAGCCCAGCGGGTTAAAAAGAGAGAACCGGCGACGCGCTCGGTAAGCTACGACGAAGGTTAGCCTATCTCATGGCGCGGATCTAAACGTTTTACCGTGTATACGCAGCACTCTGCCACGCACTCACACACATACACACACACACATGTGTGCATATACACACGCATACACACACACACACACACACACACGCATGCACGCACGCACGCTCTCGCGCCAGAGTACATTGTCATTTTATGGACAGATAGGCCTCGCCACGGCGAGCAACGAGCAGACGCGTACAATTTACGCGTCTAATTGCGCCGCTATCAATTTCGCTCGGCGAGTGAGACATTAAGTCGCGATTCGCTAACGAGCGGCCGTCGCCGTGTCGCTCTCGTCGCCCGTGCCCGCACGTTTTCGCGCTCCGTCTCTCTCTCTCTCTCTCTCTCTCTCTCTCTTCTCCTTCATCTCTCGCACTTTCTTTCCTCCTTCCTTCTCGCGATCCGTAAAGCGGGAGTAGAGCGACGAGCAGCTGATAATTTCGAGACGGAAAAATATCGAGGCACGATAATTCATCGACTTTACGACGGCTTTTTATTCCCTCGTAGCCCTTTCGTAGCGAGAGAAAACGTCAGGTCTCTCGGCCGTAGAGCGTCGCGGTTGTTCCAGCCTACGCTTTAATTATCGATGCTTCAACTTCGAGACAACCGGTATTCTCGCGAGTTCGGCGCGCGCGGCGCCGAGGATGCTCGCGACGAGCGCG